GTTGGTGCTGGTGGGGGTGGGGTTGCTGGGGGTTGTGGGCGTGGCCTGGTTCATGGGTTGGGTGTGTGGAGTTGTGCTGGTTGTCATGGTATCTGGTGTGGTGCAGCTTGCTGCCGGAGGCCTGAGAGTCACTCTGGTCGTGGTTCTGGTCGTGGTTCTGGTCATGGTTCTGGTCGTGGTTCTGGTCGTGGTTCTGGTCATGGTTCTGGTCATGGTTCTGGTCGTGGTTCTGGTCGTGGTTCTGGTCGCCTTGATGGTGGCGTTTCAGCTTCATGTCGACGTTCCATCATGAAGCGGTCAGGTTGTTCGTAGTGCAGCATTGCATTCTGGAGTGCAGCCTGTTCTCCGTGTCTGCGTGCTGACTCTCCACCACCTGCCTCTGCACCTCCCCTGATGTTCTGAAACACCTCCATCCAGTCTCGCCTCCAGACGTTCCTCCGCCGCCTCGTCAAGCCCGGTCCCTCCGGGGCCCCGCCTGCAGCTCAGGCCCCCGCTGGCTGCCTTTCAGCTGCGGCCACATCGCTGGGCCAGGGCCCCTACCTGCAGAGTCAGGTGCTCCCAGGGAGCGGTTTGAAGCCCTGCAGGATCGGCTGCAGCTCAGACATGACCAGGGCCATCATGTGAGGGGACGGGGAGGGGCAGCAGGGGCTTCTGGGTACAGCACCGGCGTCTGCAACGAGGACAGAAACAGAGACACACAGGTTTTTATTAAGCTCACTGAGTTATCAGGGTTCTTCCTCTGGGGACATGAATGAGTTTATGTTCTATAATAAAAATATGATCTGTTCTCACACCCACACCCCCCTGATGGACTCATGTCCCCTGGGGCCGGTAGTTGGTTGTTTTGGTCTAAAATGGAACAGTTTAGTTTCCAGACCGGATCACAAACACACCACAAGGCTGGAAACAGAAAACATCTGAAATAAGCTGCCATTTGTGTCGCTGTGTGTTATGTCGGGTGTGTCGTTTGTCATGTGCGTTTGTGTTGTGTGTGTGTGTGTGTCCTTTGGTGTGTGTGTCGTGTGTGCTGTGTGTGTGTGTGTGTGTGTTGTGCCACTGGTTTTTGTGTGTGTTTTTGGGTTGGCGTTGGGTGTGTGTGTGTGTGTGTCTGTTGGCGTTGTGGTTGGCTGTGTGTGTGTGTGGTGTGTGTGTGTGTCTGTGTGTCTGTGTGTGTCTGTGATGAATCGTGTCTGTGTGTGTGTGTGTGTATGTGTGTGTGTGTGTGTGTGTGTGTGTGTGTGTGTGTGCTGTTTGTGTGGTGTGTCTGTGTGTGTGCTGTGTGTCTGTGTGTGTCTGTGTGTGTGTGTGTATGTGTGTGGTGTGTGGGGGTCTGCCGGGGGCTTCAGAGTCAGATACAAGGCTGTGTTTCCAGGAGGAGAGACACTCAGAAGCTCAGATAGAGTTTCACAGTTTGTTTCTGTGGTTGAGCAGAGACCGATCCAGAACCAACAGGGACCACAGACTCTGTCCTCCAGCTGGACTCCACAGACCAGGATCCGTCTGTTTATAATTATTTTCTGGGGTTTGAAACGAACTCAGTGTGAAGACATTTCCTCTGAGTCAGAGAGAAAACTGCAGATTTTGAAGAGAGGCTTCTTCATCCGGGGGGAAACATCCAGTGACTTGTAATAAAAGTTTTAATAGAACATGAGGAGATTGTCCTCCACCAGGTCCAGTCCTGGTTTTACACACCCTTCAGCTGGCAGCGGTTCAGTCTAATGACTGTCAGTGTGATTTACAGCGTCGCACCGAGTCCACTTCCTGTTTCGCACAGAACGTCTGCTACACAAACACGTTCTGATTGGTTCCTCTGACGCTCCGTCTTAAATGCCACATTTAAAAAGTGAGACAACGCTAAATAGTCAGGAGGGAACCAGGGACAGAACCAGAACCAGGGACAGAACCAGGGACAGAAGGACTCAGAACCAGATTTAGGGTCTCTGGGTTAGAGGCTGGACCTGGACTGAACCTCTTTGGTTGTAAACAAACAACTGACCCGTCCATCATCTGTGACCTCAGTCCTCTCTGTGGTCTCAGGGACAGATGTTTTTCAGCTGTTGGAGTCTCAAGACATGATGGATCACTGAGGGGCCGAGAGAGGTCACAGGCGCCCGGGGCCTCAGCCCTCTGACCATCAGCTTCAGATAATGGACAAAAACCTTATATATATATGATATATAATTATGATAAATACAACATACACACAGCAGCATGTTCCTTTAAGGATGATGTTCATGCTGACTGGTCAGTGAGGTCAAGGGTCAGACAGAACAGAGCACTGTGGGGAAACAGGGAGGAGGAAGTGTGTGATGTAATGCACATGTTAGTAAAATATAATGCAGCTCACACACACACACACACACACACACACACACACAAAATGTATGGGAGACAGAAGAAAGACAGGATTTCCTGCGGAGGAAGTGTTGTGTGTGTGTGTGTGTGTGTGTGTGTGTGTGTTGTATGTGGAGGTGTCATTGCAGAGGAATGGAGTTCAGTGTGTTTCTCTGGTCCAGCTCACTCACACACACACACACACACACACACACACACACACACACACACACACACACACACACACACACACACACAAGTCTCAGTTCTGC